AAAAAAAAAAAAAAAAAAATTTCACGTAAAAAAAAAAAAGGTGACACAATAAAAATTTAATCATACAAACAATTTCCCCATTGCACTTTTAATAAACAAATAATTGTAATATTTAGAAATATTCTTATTTCTATCACGAACGTAAAGCGTGTCAAAAGATCACAAAAATCACAAAAATAATCAATCTGGTTATGAGTTTCTCTATTTTTTATTTCCTGATATGATTAATATTGATTGATGATGATTGTGATGTTGCGTTATGCATCAATAAAGAAATATATATGTATACTGTGAATAAAGTGTATATAAAAAATATGTTAAATATATTATTTTATTATATTTTTACTATATTATATTTTATTATATTTTATTATACAAATATTACATACTACACAACTACATCTTCCTTTTGCTTTTTATGTTTCCATATGTCCGATGCGCCAAATGATTAAAAATTTCTGAATATGATATATCAATGAACGTATATCAGGCGATTAAAATTACAGCCAATCTGAAAGTAGGAGACTAAACTGAACGAGGTTTTATTGAACGCCAAACAATTTTTCTTATTTCAATTTTTCCCACAAATATTTAATCACAAAAAAGTATTATTTAAATGTTCCGAATGCTTTTTAACAAATCTTCACCTACTACGGCTACTAATCCGATAGAATCATTACTTTATTTAGTAATTCAATTTTATTTGAGTAATTTACACCTGATTACATTAATCGCATTATGTTCTAAAGGATTTACACTATTAAAAACGATTAACTTTTACCGAGATTCTAATTTTTGGGATGTTGTATTACATGTATTACCCGATGATCCGTTTACCTTTTAACTTTTAAAGTGCCATGTTTTAAAAAAAAGGGGAAGAGTAATGAAGATTATTTTGATGTACTTTTATATACATACAGTACTTTTTGATAATATGCTTTATATATATATATGCTTTATGTTGGTTATTTTGAAAATCAGAATATTAAAAAAATATTCTTAACACGTATTAAATGGTATCTGACGACATTGATTACGTAATTTTACCGAGTATATTTCACAAAATTCCCACAATTACCAATTTTTAAAATGTTGTGTTACGAGCACTTCGGTAAATTAATAATATCCGTTATGCAGGGATATAGCCAATATCAATCAATTTATTGCGTAAATAATTTTAAAATTTGAGTACAAAATAATAAAATGATTTTTTTTTTTTTTATTATTGATGAATATAAATCAGATGCTGGTGTCATTTGTATTACAATTTTAGTTTATCGAATCAAATGAATGAATTTCGATCATGCTAACGATTTTTAAAAAGACGGAAATTTTTTTTTTGTATCTATTGTACAAGTAGTATTAACTTATTCTGTAAGTGGTATTTACTTATCGTGTAAGTAAAATTTACTTATTGAGTAAGTAGTATTTTACTTATATTTTACTTATTGTGTAAATAGTATTTACTTATATTGTGTAAAAGTTGTAGTGCAAATAGTATTTTTTAAATAACAAGGGTTATACTTTGTAGTTGGACTAAACTTTATTGTTATTTGCTATTTATTATTTCCATTATTATTATTCATTTATTATTACTTTTGATTAAATAAAGCAACATATATAAATAAATAATTTGATAACGTCATCTGATTTGTTAGAAAATCTAGTTATTTATTTAGAAAAAATATGTATGAATAAAAAATAAAAAAAAAAAAATTGTAGATTGAACTATTTATGGAATTTTAGAATGAAAATTGGTTCTATGATAAGAACATATACGCAGAATTCTAATAAAGAAATTTATATATATTATTATGAAACAGGAAAAAAAAAAATAAACAGGATTTATATTGTAAGGTTGAGTGAAACTATTTAATACATGATAACGTGAAACTATTTTTTTAATATATTTTGTATATTTTGTATATATTTCAAATAAATTAAAATTATTATTATATAAAAGTAATTTTCATATGATGAACCTGAATGGATGAGTGATTAT